TCATAGTGTAAATAAATTTCAGGTGATTATTGCATGAGAAGAAGATTCAAAACCAATAAATGAATACAACAAGTACATTCATGCATTCATAATTAAGAATTTAAAAGTGTGACCAAAGAAAATAAATTAAGAACTTAACACATCAACTGAAATGTCCACTAAAACAGAGTTTAAATTCAAGTTGAAACCGAAATATCTAAAAAAATAAAGATTAAAGTCTGTTGGAATCCTTCAAGTTTGAAATTTTGTTTTGATATATTAAGTGAGAAAGGGGATCTAGCGTTTTGCTTTGAGTTTCGGATAATGAAGGGTAAAAGACGGGAGAGAAACATTTAGTGATAGGTTATAGGCGTATATATGTTTATACATGTTTGGTTTGTTTCGGTTTTGACTTCGGTTCGGGTTTAATCCGAATCCGACCGAACTCGAACATAAAACAACATGAGAATCATTCGGTTATTTCACTAGAACCGATACCGACCAATACTGCCTACTTCGGATTGGGTTTTGGTTCGGATTTCATGTTCGGATAATTTGTCCACCACTAGGAGTAGCACATTACCCACTTAGCCTATCTTATAACATTATTGGCTTTACATGACATACAAAACAGGGACAATTTTAGAATATTAATACACGTAAGACAAATTTCAAAATGTAATGTGTTAATTTCATAACATACGATAGAGGGATAGAGAGACAGATTTTCTCTTGGACGATAAATTTGATTACCTTTGTTTTAATTACAACTAGGTGATTCTTCCGCGTACACGCGGATAAATTATTTATATAATATTTTTTTAATTTTAGTTTTTAAAAATGTGAAATATATAGTTGTTTTGATTTTTATTATAGACATTGTTGTTGATTCTTTTATTGTTAATTTTTTGGTCAATAATATAGTTTTGATTAATATTATGAATTTCAAAATTTTAGTTTTATTATTTAATTATTTATATATGTAAGCGCATCAAATCAAAATGTATAATAATTTAATACATTAGAGTTAAAAAAACATGTTAAGTTTGGCTTGTCCGGATATCTTAAGTAGAATTTAGAATACCAATAAATTATTTCATATTTTTAAACAATAAAATATATAATCATAAATTTTTTAATTGAAACACATATTAAAAAAAAAATTTTGCTTTCAAATTAAATTTTTTTTATTACTTTCAAATTGTCTTGCGTTAAAATAAATTTCAAAAGAATAATTATATTTGTTGTTATAAACTTGGGAAGTTTTTTTTACAAACATATCAAAATCTCTTTTAAAAATTTGGTAAGTCTTTATTATTATTTTCAAAAAAAAAATATTCTATAAAAATGTTCTATAACTTTATTATTACAATAATTA